GTACTGCTGAGTGGTACATAAACTATGCCCAACTATGTACCACAGTTTTGCTGTCAGAAAAAAATGAATTTCTTCATTTTAAATGAGACAGTTTAAAGGGATGACAACAACCAGCTGACAGCCTGCAGCAACAAGCGGGGGGAAGAGGGGAGTGCAGCTCTGAGATTATCAGCAAATAAGTAAATAAAATTATCTCGAACCTCACWTAAAGGCATTTAACTGCAGGGAACGTATGACTTTTAACATCTTGGAATACAACGAAGACACTTTCTTTCGATAACAACATCCATCTCAACATCAAGTGTTGTGCGGTGTGGTTTACTCTGAGGACTTTGGCTCTGAAACACGTCGGTTGAATGTTCTTCTATTCGTCCTCAATAAAGACTGAACCTGTGTTGTCTTTTTACTCACTCTCTGCGAGCTTTTTCCACCTCTTTTTTGGAAGGCAGGTTGCGCCCATCGAACACAAGAATGACTTTGACACCGAAATTCAGCAGCATGTCCACAAACTTCATGCAGTACCACACATATCTGCGAACACATTAAGTCGTTATTGGTCACGTTACTAATTACTGATGACTACTTTCAGGAGCTAATTTTTGTTTAGCAAGACAACTTCTTACTGGTCAGTTGGTTCCCCCTTAGCGAGCTTCTCGGCACAAGAGAAAGCTCCTTTATGCAGCCAGCAGTACGTGTCGACAGCCACCGTTTGGCCTTTATATTTTTTCACATGGACGGGCTCCGCTGCATCTTTGATGAACTGCAGCAATCCAGAGATTCCCATTTTCAGCTGCACAGATTACACACACTGATCACAGACATGAGAGAGACAAACAACCAACATCAGCTGAATCAAAGAACCTCTTCAAAGTGTGTTGAAGAAGATGCAGTCACAATCAGATCCTGTGTAAACACCTAAAACTTAACTGCAGAACTGGAAATTGTACGAGCACACAAAGGCTAATGATGGCAAAACCCTATAACAGTAACATACATTTAAACATTTTTGTCATGAATAAATTACCAATAAGGCTATATATTCTATTTAATTGTAGCATTACAGTATGTATATGTCCAAAAGAGGCTTCCAGTATATATATATATTATATATATATATATATATATTTATTCCATCTTTATCGTAGACATCATTAGTGTTGGATAAAATTTTTACAAATTGGAATAAGTTGTCTAAAACTTTATAGTGTGACAGGACTTTTAACAAGGACGACATTAAAATTCTATGTTTTTGTGTTGCTTTATGAACTCAATAAAAAAATGCAATCTACTCTGATAAAACCAATAACTCAGTTTTTATTGTATATTCATCTTTTGAACTTTGAGAAATTCTTGGCATCTTATAAACAGACTTATAAAGTCCACCACCATTTTACCAACCATCTCTAAAGCTATAGAAAAGTCAGTGGCAGAACAAGTGTGGGTTTTGCTCAAGATATTTAACAGAACTGTACATCTAACCTCATAAAATGTGAAATGATCTTTAGATTAGGGTAATGTAATCAGAGTAGTATTATTTAACTGAAAACAGCATTTGACAAAGTTATTCATAAGTTGCTGTTGTAGTCGAGTTCTGTCTATAAAAACAAAACAATGTGTCAGAGGTAATAGGATTAAAACAACCTTTCAAAACGTAGGTGTTCCACAAGGTTTCATCTTAGGACCTCTAATTTTWGCTTGTATAATAGAGACTTACCTGACAGTTGTAAAGATGTTTAATGCCAAATGTATGTGGCTGTTTGATGCCAAGAAACTCAAAGTGAAATAAAATTTAGTTGGACAAACAAGTTGTGAAGGTTTTATATCCAAAGCCAATGAAGCTGAGCCACTGTAAATAAACAGAAGAAGTATAACCTTTGAAGTGTGCAGCTGATCCATGATTTCTTTGTAAAACAAACTTTAAATGTCTGGGTGGTCTTGTTTATTATGTAATGAGTGAAATTACCCCCCACCTCCAACYTGTTAAATTCTTGCTTTTCTCCTGCTTTATTTGCAGTAAATCTGTATGTGAAATGTCTAGTTTTATTGTTTATTTTAGGCATGCAGTTTTATATATCATAAACAAGGTCTGCAAATTACCATCTCAATAGAAGGCATATAACATTTGCAGTTTTTAACATTGTTTTCTGTACCATCCTTAATTTAAATAAGCTATTTCTGTAAAACGACACTGCTTCCTGTTTCGTGACTTCCCTAAAATCTTTTTACTTATATAACTTTTTTACAGGTTTATACTGATACTGTGAAAGACATGCACTGTTGGTGACTGTTGTACTCTTGCAGGCACTGTCACTAAATGAAGCTATTTCTACAGCAATTAGCAAAAAAAGATAAATGCCCAAAAATGATGGCAATTGTGAATTGCAGTGATTAAACTCTGCACTCTGACAACGGCTTAAAACGGGCGTTAATAATACTGCTGCAGTATTAGGCAATCATGTATAACCATTTCAAACTCTAAAATGTTTTCATTTTTCTCCACAACTATCTGGAGACCCTCAAATATAATCGTTCAGTCAGTGAATGCAAAGGTTGTGAATCTTTGACTGAACCATTGGAATACCCCCAGACAACACACAAAGAACAAGCATAACAAGCAAATGATTTTATCATCCTTTTATCATCCATTTAGCCTTGGGGCGGAGTTATCTTTTCACGGGGTGGGGGGGTGGGGGGTAAGATACACTTTAAACCCAGTGTAACATGTGAAGTTTAAGGCTGTCCTAGTCAACACTTTTACAAAATATGTCAATATTTTCGTAAATTTTAAAAAAAAATTACTTCGAAAAGATTTGCGCCGAATTTTTCAAAAAAGATGGATTGTTTTGGAAAAACCCTTTGGTCCTTACTTTTAAGACCTAATTAGTTGTGTTACCACCCGAAATGTTTTAAATGCTCTGATAAATTGAATTCGTAGGAAACCAGAGCACCTCATCTCGCGCACAACGGAATAATATGGCAACAAACGATACGACTGTATCACGTTTGAACAGAACAAGACGCAAAAAAGTAATATAAAGTCGAGCTAAAATATGTTAAAACTCAAACTTACCTTTCTTTTGCTAAATTCCACATAGACAGACAACGCAACAGAAAAACTACTTTGGTTTTAGCGGTAAAAATACGTACTTCATGAGAACTGCTGCTATTGGTCGAATGGATTTACCTCAAGACACTCTGTCAGTAAGCGCTGCTGCCATTGGCTGGAAATGTAAAGAGGAGGAGCTTCGTTGAAAGAAATACAAATAATAATTAATTTGTTTTTGTAATTTATAGTAATTTGATATGGTTGCAAAAGAGGATGGAACAAACGCAATTGTGGTCATATAAAGTGCTTTAATATTTGGTTGAAAAGCAGCACCTGACTGACATGCTTTGTATTCACGTCAACAACGTACCCAAATGAACAACTCAATTTCAATATAAGTTTTTTTTTACATGTTGCTCCAAAATAAAGGCCAGTTAAATAGGACATTTGCCAACGTTGATCATCTTGATTTATTCCTTTCAGTTTGACAGATTTTATATTTGACTTTAAATTTTATTTTTATTTTTGTGGGTTTCATCTGGGGCATGTAATGTCCGAGCATTACGACAGGACCTGAACGCCTCTTGAGACGTGTCTGTTTTCCAGGTTCCTCCGTACTTCCGGTTTGTTTCCCACCGCAGCTTCAGCCCGAACGAAAACAAAATGCGATTGATAAACTTTACAGCTGAGCTGTGATCAATGACAGCTTCATTGCCGGGTCCTTGCATACTTTACCCACCGCTCATTTAAATGTCAGTAATTTGGACTCGAGGGGTGTAGCAGGAACAAGAAAAACAACCATGCAGTTTTCTCCGACGAACGGAGATTTCACATTCGTCTCCTCTTCGGAAGCTGAAGGTATGCTAATGCTAGCGTAGCTGCTACACAGCTGGTAGGCCCTAAAACTAACAAACGAACTGGGCATTATATATTTTTGTCATTTTAACTATAGTAAATCGGAATTTTAGCATCTAATAGGTTCAGCAAGTAAATATATTCTGGACACTTTCATTAAAGATTTAATAGTGTTGATAAATCAGAAGTTATCGTGTAGTTTCTACATGTTAGATTAGGTTAGGAGACAAAAAGCTAACACTGGAAAGAGCTGGGACAGTTTTTAATTTTATTTTTTATATCATGAATTTCCCTGCTTTTTTAATAGTTTTATTATTCACAACACTAAAGTAACTCCCAATATGGGTGTGGCTATAAAAATGCTGCATATTGACCAGTGATAACAATGAGACAATTTTATTGGTATAATATTTTAACATTATTTTCTTAGATTAAAGATGCCACATTTAAAAACATGATATTTAAAAGATCGTTGTTTCCGTTTGTTAAAAATGTATAAGAAGTCAAACTTTACAGTGCTGTCCAGTAGATTTAATCACTGTTTGGGTGGCAACCAAGGTGAGCGCAGAAGAAATAATGCAAGGAGCGTTTTATTTTTATACGCACAAAAGTTTGTATGAAACCCAGACCTCGTTCTCCCCGGTGGTACTCTACAGCTCCACCTGAGAGATCTCAAGCCATTCTCGGGCCACAGAATATACTCAATCCCTCCAGCAGGTCTTGGGTCTGACCCGGTGCCACTTCCCTGTGGGACATAACCAACAACCCTCGAAAGAGAGACGTTAACTTTATGCAAAGAAGAAACATTTACAGATGTGAAATATTCCTGCTGTGTGTTTGTGCCCACTGTCTGACTGTGTTCTTCTCTCCACAGAGCTGAGCGGCACCATCAGCACGCCTGACGTTAAGCTGAACATGGGCGTTGACGGCGGCAAAGATCCATACGCTACCACCTTCCTGAGGCAACGGGGCTACGGCTGGCTGCTGGAGGTGGAGGAGGAGGAGAATGAAGAGAGTAAACCTCTCCTGTAAGGATTTGTTTTGTCAAGTCATCAAATTTTCTGGATGACTGCTGCTGTCTTGTGAAAAAGTAGCAAGTAAAATATTTAGGCAGATAGTAACTGTGAAATAGATTTATTTGAAAATGGTTTATGCTTTTATTTTTAATGTTTGGAACCTCACAAACTCCTCAGAACAAATGTGGTGCCTCGTGCATTTAAGGTGTGTAACGCATATTGCTTGTTCTGTGGTGTGTCAAATGAAATTTGTGTCAAATTGTAAGTAATTTTTATTTGTATAGTACTTTTAACAGATAATCATCACAAAGTGCTTCACAAAACTCAAATGAATACAAACGTATAATAAGAACCTAAAGGCATACAATAAATATGAGCAATAAAACATTAAGTAACACATTTTGCTAAATGCTTGTCTGAATATCAGTGTCTTAATCTGTTTCTTTAAAAAAAATCAACAGTGTCAGCCTCACAGAGAAAGGGCACTCTGAAATAGGGACGTCCCGATCAGATACTCAGTATCGGTGGCAGATATGGCCATTTTTTGAAAATCAGGTAGAATCGGATTTAGTCATGTGATCGGGCCGATCCAGTTTTTGCGACAGTTTTCAGCATCATCATGCTTTACAACTGCCGTTAAGAAGTCAAGATGCACACAAGTATGCAACCATGTCCATAGTGTGGGAACACTTTTCAATGGAAAACAATGATGCTGAAACTGCACCTTGCAAAATCTGCAAACTGGATGTTTCTCCTGGTGGGAACAGCAGGGCTCGCTTTAATACTACCAACCTTGTCACTTGGAAAGAAATAAAGAAGTAAAGCTATCGGATCGGAATCGGAAAGACTAATTATTAAAAAAATCGGGTTGTATCGGGAGCCAAAAAATCTGGATCGGGACATCCCTATTCTGAGATTGTGCTTAAAATTACGCATATTTTCCCCTGCCTTTTTATCACGTATCACATGTTCGCATATTGAAACAGAGGGGTGTCTGGTGAGGTGGCTCATGTGGACAGTGTTCCACGTCCTTTGGGATGTATGAAGGAAAAAGGGTGCGGAAACATGAGTGCACACAGTTCGATAAATCTGAATCTTTCTGTGCACATGCAGATTTTCCATTATGGTAACTTTGAGTATAAGAGGTGCACATTCTGTGATACGTGAGGCCCCAGATCTGTGAAAGAATCTGGGTTGGATCTGCTGTTTTTTTTTTTTTTTTTACTTTGTATTTTAATAAATCATACCGGTCATAGTGTGTTACTGACTGCCTAGAAAACCTTGTGGTGTTCTTTTTTTAATTAATGCATGTAGTTTAGAGCAGTGGTTCCCAAAGATAGGGTCGGGACCCACAATGGGGTCCTGAAAGTAATTTTTGAATTAATTACCCTAAAAAACGACAACGCTTTTTTTTTTTGCATTTGTTGTTACAAAATAAAAAGATTTGTGTACTTAAAATGTACAAAAATAGCATAATAAAAAATGTTTCTATGCTCTTGTTTGTTTGTCGTGAAAGCAATGTTTATCAGCCAACAACAGCTGGAGGCTCAGGTCTCTGCTGCAGATATTTTATGGGTCGAAAACTGAAAAGTTTGGGAACCACTGGTTTAGAGTTTATGTGTTCCTAATATATTTTAATCTCTTTATCTCAGATTAGACTTAAGTTAATTTAAAAAATAACATTAATTTTATGCTAACAACTTGAACAAAAAAACTCAGATTTCATGTCAGTCTTGTTAAAATGGCTCGCTTCATCACCGAAACTTGCTGTTAGTATTTTTGAAATGCACAATTTATTCCACATGGCCAAGTTTTTAAGAACAATATTCAAAGTACTGTTTGTTGTATATAAACATAAATGATAGCAGAAGTGACTTGTCTTTAACACGTGTTGGTGCAAAGCCTCCATTAATATGTGTTTGTTCTCGTGTGCGAGCAGGGAAGAGCTGGACATCGACCTGAAGGATATTTATTATAAGATCCGGTGCGTGCTGATGCCCATGCCATCACTGGGTTACAACCGGCAGGTAGTACGAGACAACCCGGACTTCTGGGGTCCTTTGGCCGTGGTGCTGCTTTTCTCCATGATCTCCATCTACGGACAGTTCAGGGTGAGTTCAGCACGGCGCGGCGAGAACGTTAGCTTAGCTGAATTTATGAAAACGTTGCCCTCGTTCTGAGGTTATTCTAACATGACACTGAACTTTTTTTGAAGTAATTTTTCAAGAAATGTTTAATGAATCTAACAAACGAAACCTAATCAAAAAGTATAGTTGCGTAAATGATTTAAGTGTGCCGTTTTTCTTCATCCTGGTCCTCGTGGGCCAAAAYTCAGCATGTTTTACTTGTTTCCCTGCTCCAACACTCCTGATTCAGTGATTGAATTACTTCGTCATGTTTTGCAGAAGCTTGTTCATTCAAATMAGGTGTGTTGGAGCCGAGAAACCTCTGAAACCTGCAGGACGAAGACATCTCTGTTATAGACCGTTCTCATAGTTTGTTTGAAGAACGAACGAAAATTCTTGCTTTTTGTTAGGTAGAAAGAAAAAAACAAAGAAATGAACGCCTTTCTTTATAGAATAATCTGCAGCTTATTGTTTTGCAAAAACACCCTGTATGTCATATGGAGTTCAGTACAGAAGACTGCAGACTCCTTAGATGTCTCCTGGCTTCAGCCTTGTTAGTAAGTGTCCTCGTGTGTGTTTGCAGGTTGTGTCTTGGATCATCACAATTTGGATCTTTGGCTCTCTAACCATCTTCCTGCTGGCTCGTGTTCTTGGTGGCGAGGTAAGTGCTGCAGACCCGCCTGCAGCCAAACAAAACACAGTACCTTCTAACGTCTGTTTCTTCCACATTGAATCTGTGTTTCTGAGTCGTTTTTTTTTATTCTTCTGGGCAGGTTTCTTACGGCCAGGTCCTCGGAGTGATCGGCTATTCCCTCCTTCCTCTCATCGTCATCGCTCCTCTGCTCGTAGTGATCAGAGGGCTGGAGGTGGTTTCCACGCTAGTCAAAGTGAGTCAGAGTGCGCTCTTMTTTCTGTGGTCCTGGTTGCTGATCTTATGGTTTTTATGAAATCTGTTTGTGCTGAGTCATCTGTTTTTATCTTCCAGCTGTTTGGAGTCTTCTGGGCTGCGTACAGCGCTGCTTCACTACTCGTCGGAGATGAATTTAAAACAAAGAAGCCCCTTCTCATATACCCCATCTTCCTTTTGTACATCTACTTCCTGTCTCTATATACCGGCGTGTGACTGGATGAGCTAGAGCTGTGGACCTACGTACGGACAGTGACTCTGGTGCATGGAGGGGAAAAGTCGTATAATACTATAAAATTTAACAAAGCTGTTTATTTCCTTTTCTAAACTCTGTTTGGTGTTGGACAGTGGGGATGTGGAAAATACAGATTATTGTAAATAGTTTTGTTCCACCTGTCTTTGGTCAATAAAATGCTTATGATTTTAAAGCTTGAACCTTGTTATAAGATGTCTCCACCACAGGGACGCTTCTGCATTTTGTTTGTGTTTTTATTTTATTATTATTATTATTTTACCTGGACATAATTTCTTTTTAGTTTCATTTTTAAACACGTCTGGCAAAGTGGTGCCAAATATCTGTGTGTACAGTATGTTCTGAATTAGCCAGCACCGCTAAGATTTCTCACTCTTACACAATGTAACATATAACAAATGTCCAATAATCCACCAGCTTTCACATTTTTGTTTTTAATCCTGCAGAGCCCCTGAAGTGTCTTTATTTTATTTTTTTAAATTGTGAGCACATTTTGATCACGTGCATGTCTAAAATATTTGTTTCCAGGAAAGTGTGCACGCGGGATAACTTCCTCAAGATGACAATGGGCACGTCATTATCTTGTGTGCACAACTTTAATAAATAAATATTGTCACTTCAGGGGTTCCATAGTTTTCAGGGTTAGAATATCAGTGCCTCGTTCCCCACCTCCCACCTCTCGAGTCCTGTTTGTCACTTGTTTGATGCAGGAGCAAAGTCAGTTAAATCATCACAGTAAACGTAGCATTTTGTTTTCTCAGGTCTGATGTTTTATCATTGATCACTAATTTATACACTTTTTAAGCAACTGGTTTCATTCCAACAAAATGTGTATAAAAGCATTTCATCTGTAAATACATGATCTTTAAGGGCAAACCTGTTGTCTTAGTTTCATAAAAGTTTTTGAGATTGTAGAAAATGCACTCGCTGAAAAGAAAAATGGTGGTCGAAATGAAATGACACCAATAGCCCTTTTCACAAAGCACTTAAGTTGGGTATGAAACCGATTTTTACAAATTTTCACATTTTCAGCCATGTCGTAGAACTGTTTTGTGAAAGAGGCTAATTATTTCAACGAGATCAAAAGCGGCAGTACAGTGGACACTGCTGGTTTTGTCTGTGATGTGGCATCACCTTGGTTCTGAACACAAATGGAAATTTATCCTTTCATTCATCAACTTCTGCTTGTTCATGAGTCTGGTTGTGGGGGCAGCAGCTTGAGCAGGGAGGTCCAGATRTTTCTTTCCACAGCCAACTCTTGCAGCTCTTCTGAGAGGACTCTTGATTCATTCCCAGGCCAGCAGACAGACATGTTTCTCCAGCGTTTTTTGGATCGTCCATTGAGTCTTCCCTCTTGGGAGGCATTCAGAGGACATCTCAACTAGCTTCTCTTGGTGTGGAGGATCAGCAGCCCCYTATCTCTCAGGGAGAGTCCAGCTACCCCGTGGAGAAAACCTATTTCAACTGCCTGTATCTGTAATGTATTTATTTTTTGGGCACCACCCAAAGTTCATGGTTATAGGTGAGGGTGGGAACATAGACCGACCAGTAAAGAGCTTCACAACAGATCAGCGCAAAGTATGCATAACTGTGGAAACTGCATCAAAAAAAGATAATGTTCAGTTTATTCATAGATTCATAGCTGTGGGCTGATTAGTTGCAGATGAGAATAATATGACTGCGAGACTATTTCGCAACTAATTTCTGGGCTGGGGGTGAGGTGACGCCTCAAGTGGAGGAGTTCAAGTGAAATTTATAAAATTGGCACTGGGTCAAAGTTCACACTAATCCCACATGTAACATTAGGGACAGATCAAGGGACCTGGCTGGCCACAGGGGGACCTCAGCATAAAGCTGTCAGTAATAACAAATGGTTGTTGTCTTGTTAAAAGACGTAGTTTTACAATGCAATGTTGTGTGTGGATGCAAAGATGATGCACAAAACCCTTGGCCACTGTGTCATCTGTATTTCCGGGTGATTACTGTATTTATTCATATGTAATACTAAAAATTAAACCCTAAAAATTATCCATATACGTAGTATTATACAGAGGCTAATAATGATTCAATTTTTTTATGCTTTGTAAGCTAATTTTTTATTGTATTATACTCAAGACTGTGTTAAACATGAATAAATACGGTACACAACACAATCTGGTGCAAACCCACAATGTGACCCCATGTTCTGGTAATCCTGTCTAATGTTTCTACAAGACATCCACCGACCAACTGCTGTGATTGTTGAATGCTTCAGCAACTGCCTGATAACACTATCACTTCACTTGTAGTGCCACCACTTTTGCCCTCTTGTCATTATTTTTGTTTACATGGTTGTAGCTGATATATCACAGCTAAATTAGAACCTGGGATTTGTCAAGATGTATAAATAAAAGCAGATGAACTTTTCCTGAAAGTCAGTTTTACTGTGAATGTACACCTGTCAGTCAGCTTGGGTTTAAGTGATAACAAAAAAATTGAACAACGTTGATGATGAAGTACTAGTTAGCAAAATCATAAATGAAATGACATGAGCAAAAAACACTGACTTTAGTGTTGCCATTATTTTGTCCATCAGCTGTTGTCTTTTACTACTGGCRCTGTTATCGCGAGACTTGGCGCTGTTATCGCGAGACTTGGTGGAGAGTGGTGGCGGTGTAACTGACACAGCGCTCAGCCAGGAGTTCCTCACTGCTGATGGTGACGGGCGGAGGAGAAGAAGGCGTTGAAGGAGTCAGCAGTGGCCGGGGACTGATAGTTCCGATATAGTCTTGTAGATTTAGTCGTTTTACGTTTATCACTGGATCCTCACAAACCCTGAAAGGAAGAGAAGGGGGAGAAAATACGCGAAGATGGCGGCCGCGGCCTCGCCGGGCTCCGGCTCGTCGCCGGGCTTCGGCTTGTCCGCATCCTCGGACTGGATTGTAGTAAGAGACGGTTGCCTGCGTTGCGACGAGGAGGGCCTTCGGAGCCTCTCCTACCACCCGGCCCTCAACGCTATCTTAGCCGTCACCAGCCGTGGCAGCATAAAAGTGATCGACGGCACGTCGGGGGCCACACTCCAGGCTTCAGCGCTGCACGGTAAGCGCCGGGGCTTTCTCTCAGCCCTGACAACACTCTGAGTTATAACCCAACTCCAGTTTGTCAACAGACTCTGGACTGGTCTCGTTAGCTTTCACTGAGGGCCTAGTTGGGTTATTAAGGAAATACATTTAATTTATTCTGTGATGTGTTTTAAAGGCACAGTCACCACATTGGCACAATTATAAGCCAACTGCCAAACGCGCTGGTCTTACACAAATAAATAGTTTGTCACTGTTTGTACCCCAGAGACAACATGACACCTCTGTGCAAGCTAACAGCTAGCCTAGCGTAGGGCTAGTTAGCCGGCAAACCTCCCTGTTTAGTTTGTGATATTCTGGTTACTCGCAGCATGTCCTTTGGTGTAAATGTCACATTTGAGAGACCAGGAGAAGCACTATAAGTAGTGCCTTGAAGCTGCCAGCTGTCTAAATGTTTCGGGAGTTTGGAAATGGGAACTGCTTGGTTAGCCGCTAAGCTAGCTCACAGTTCACCGGGCGCAGTCTGTAAAGCATTCAGGTGATGCTGATGAACTCAGTGGTGCAGACGACTCAGTTTAACAGGAAGAACGTGTTATTTTTTGTTTACGTTAAAATGGCTATTTCCACACATTGTTTTGGGAAAGCCTAATTTTATTCGACATGTCAGCTCCTTAGTAGGAGTATATAATACGGATTCTGTACAATTTGCATAGATTCAGTGAATCTCTGCTGAGGATTCACACTTTATGTTAAACTAATCTTACTGAATTTGTAAAAAAAGGTTTCCTGGATCAAAAATAAAATTAGGAGCTTATGTAGTTGGTTTGGAGTATGTTTGTGTTTTCACCATGTTTAAGATGCGTGTCGTGTCAGTCTTTTTTATAGCAGTTTTTTCTTCCTTATCTGTGATTTAACAAAGAAGTCTTGATGCAATTGTTAAATACCACAAATTACATATTAAACATCTTTTGAGAGTTCAGATGGTTCATAAATGAATGAAATCATGATTTACATTTTTTAAATTTAGCTCAGACAAGTTTCGTTAGTAGGATGTGTCCTTTGAATTTGTTTCTGTGTGAGACTAAAATCAAATTGTTTCTTGCATTTCGAAGACAGTCCTAACAAATGGTATAGGTCGTGGCCACAATGCCACGTTTCTATTTACAAATTGGCATGCTTATTATAATAAGGCACACCAGTTTTACATAAAACATCCAAACAGACAACTCAGACGTGGAGTGTCAAAGACAGTATAACAGACCCTTAAAGAAATTTAAAGATGTGTTGTAGAAGAAACACAGCCTTTAAGGAACCCTCCATGAGTTTGAGAAGGACTTTGTTTCTATTTGTCAGCATAGTTCTGTCTTATTTAGATGCAGCTGCAGCCTCAGACTTCAGTGTTGTTATGCATTGTCATGTTAACAAGTGATTTGTAAACCTATTTTTTGTCTGATCATTGTACTTAATATTCACAAGTAGGGCTGCCACAAACGATTATTTTTATAATCGATTAATCACCGATTATTTTTTCGATTAGTCGACTAATCGGATCATACGTTAATTGAATATAAAACATACAGCTTATCACGCCAGAATGCAGCTGCTATTATATAACCATCGTTAGATTTTAGCTATATGCTAACTAAAAATAATTGCTGTGGAAGGCAAGTTCTGCTCTGCAGATATTGCACAGGTTTCTCTTTCTTTTTCTTAAAATGATCCCACACTTTTGAGCTCCGTTGCTGGGTAGCCATGATACCAGAGCCTGTCTGTATAATGTCTTGTGACGTCCATGGCCTACCCCAGTTACCACTACTGGGCATGTGTGTCAAGGACAGAAAGGCAGATGTGGCAGTGGAAGSTGTCAAAGCAGTTTGGAGAGAAAAACAAAGTAAAGAACAAAAAAAAAAAACCCACCCATAAAACGATTAATCGATTATTAAATTAGTCATCGATTATTTTAATAATCGATTAGTTGTCGATTAATCGACTAATCGTGGCAGGCCTATTCACAAGCCTGTGCTGTATTGCTGTTGACTTCAGGAACAAGGCTCTCTGAGAAATGAAGCTGTTGGACATTGCTTAATAAAGAAGTCTCCAACAGCTCATTGCCTACACAGAACTAAGCTATAAATTTATTGCCACAGCACTCAACATGGGGATAAACCCCAACATTTATTTTAATAGCCTAGAATGTCTGGTTCAGCAGAACAAAATTCAGCCATGATGACAAATTGCCCTAAAATGTGGAAATGGGTGGAAATGTTTTGCAGGTTTGTTAAACTAGCGTGTGTTGAACAACCAACTACGTTACAGTCCCTTGCAGTTCGATGCAGAGAGAAAACGGACAAAACACGAAGCTGCGTGTGAACACAATGCTTCAATGATTTAAAACAATCATTGCTGCCTGTTAATCTGGGATGGGTAAATATTATTTCCAAAACTACCAGTACCCTAAATCCATCATTCCATAGAGAAAGATTATTCACAAGCGGAAAACATTTAAGACAGCTGCCAGTCTTCCCAGGAGTGGATGTCCCAGCAAACTCACTACCAAGGTCAGACAGTAGAATGCCCAGAAAAAAAAAATCCCATGCCTCAGTTAGCGGGTTAACTTAAAGGTTAAAATTCACAACAGAACTGTAAGAAATGTCTGAAAACTTTGGCTTTTTTTTTTAGGATTGCTGGGGATAAAACAAATGGATTTTCTTTTTAAAACAATATGACAGATGCAACCAAAATACAGATGTTTGACTAATGCACAGCATAATGTTGAACAAAAATCAAACAAGGCACATCACAAACACATCTAACTGTGAATCACAGTTGTAAAGGGCTTATATGATTAGGTTTTTTTTTTAATTCAGTCAATGGGCACCTTGCAGTCGACGGGTTGACTATGAACTCGGATGTAGACCAAAGGATTCTTGATACAAGCTTGAATCCACTTTCCATCTTTATTTAGTTTCCATCTTTAGTTTATATTCATGCTCCAAAATAACAAAACCCACAAACTGAAATCTCAGTTGTTGCTTGTGTGGTGATTTCAGCTACTTTAGAGCAGTTTTAGTCGTGTTCACAAACACCCAACTCTTACAGTAAATCGGTCTTTTGTTTCACTTTCAGACTTTGGCACTTTGTGCTCCTGTAACATTTGCCAGCCTCAATAAAGATTTGTTGGAGGTTATTCACATTCTTATTTAGTTCATTTTATAATAGCCTAAGATTGCTTCCACAAWAGAGTTTTTTCCTCAATAAATTTTATGGCATTGCATTTAGTGGTAGGGGATGTTATCTAGAACAGAAACCAAGGTTATAATTTGTGGGTTGGCTAAAATTGAAGAAGTTTATAGTCATCTGAAATTATTTTATCTTTATCAATATGGTTGCATGTGTTATTTATTTTAACAGGTTGATATACTATAGTTATAATAAAGTACATGTCTTTATTTTCTGTGTAAAGAAAATTTTATTAGCTTCAGCAGCGCTCTCAAAGGATACCACATTTTCTCTGAAAGATTTCTTGACTTTGGCACTAACACATTGCTAGCTGGACTTGTGACCTATCACCTTTTCTGTAATTCTTGCTYTGTCCCAAATGGTTTCACAAGTGTTGTGATTTTAGGACTTGCTCACAAAGTCACCACTTTTATCAAAAAAAAAAAAAAAAMCCTGGGAAATCAAGATTGTTTCGGCACAATATATTATTCTGAGATGGGGATTAGCACAAAATACACATTGCTTTTATTTTGGCAAAGCACATATACTCCTGTGTTTTGTGATACAGAAAGTCACCAGATCAATTTTCACACTCAAGCTTAAACAAAATGCTTCGAGTCGTTTTTCTTTGCCTCAGATTGGAGTGCTGGTTTAGATTTAGTGTCCACACCTTGTTGATCTGAGTTTTTTTTTTGGCAGCGATAGAAATTTGTTCAGGGGTGACRGTGTTTTGTTGTGCAGAAACACCTCGAGTAGAAATGCACAAAATAAACTCAGCCCGTGTCCCGTTTTTCAGTTGGTTGTAACGTGTGRTGTGTGCTCAGACACATGACTCATTTATTGTTTGTTTGGTTTCTGTTCCCTGCTGGGCTGCTTAGAAAGTGGTCTGAAAAAAAAAAAGACATTTACATGGAGAGATGCATTCTGATTAAAAGTTGCTTACGGGTTTAGAATGTTCAAAGTTTGATTTATTCACTACAGACCTGCTGTGACTACAGTACAGACTTTAAATAAAGTTTCCTGAAGCATGGTCAATTTAATAATTGGGAACGATTTATAACACTAGAAGGACACATTTCAGAAGGTAACTTGTTTATTTTTCCATTTCTTCAGCTGGGTTCTAACAGGTCAGTTTGTCTTTGCAATTGTGCTAATAATCCAAAAACAAAAATAACTTGTGTTTAATGGTTAAAGCTAAACAACAGGAGAAAATGATTCAGTTTGTGCTTCAGAAAAAGCAGAGAACATAAATTTATTTTTGTAATAAAGTAAAAAAATTTTTTTATTAAGTGTCTGTAGTCACAAATAAATAAGCACAGCAGAGATAACTGTTGGTTTATCTGACTAAATTGCCCTATTTTCTAAAAAAGTCAAATGTAACTAAAGTGAGTGTACGCTGAGAAATCTGTTACTTCTCGTCTTTTTTTTCTCTTCTGTCCTCAATGTGTGCTGTTCTGTCCTCTCATCCTGTCTTAGCTAAACCCGGCGGTCGTGTCAGGTGTCAGTACTTCCCCGCAGTGGACAAGGTGCTTTTTGTGGATGACTATGCTGTGGGATGCAGGAAAGACCTGAACGGCATCCTGCTCCTGGACACGGCCCTCCAGCCTCCCGTGGCCAAGCCGGAGGACATGGTTCAGCTGGAGCTGCCGGTCACAGAGGTGAGAGATGACGCAAACGTACCAAAAAAAAGTCTTTTTTTCTTTTTGTTTTCTTGACATCAGTTATGTTTGTGTTGATAAATGTTTTCAATTGATTCTTCTGTCTCAGAATCAGGACTTTGTTTACACAGCTCTAAAATAACACTGACCTTACTTATATACAAGTTACTTCAATTTCTGTCTAATTTTAGTCAAATGTGATGCGAGATTTGACTAAAAACAACTTTGAGTTCTGACACCAGTTATTGACGTTTTAGGTAAACGGCTTTGTTTATTAATTTTGAGCCTTTAGTTGAGCATTTATTTTTTAAGTTCAAGCCATTTACTATTTACTTAAAAACCAACAAATGCTTTTTCTGAAATAGTCATTGTAAATCCGAAAAAATATTTCAACGTGTTAATTCAGGACTTATTTTATTCCAATTTTCTAGATAGTTGAATAAAAGTGAGAGCATTGAAACTGTGAAAAGCAACAAGTATAATGAGTCTAGAAAAAAGGGTTTACAAAAAGAAACAATTACACAAACACACTTGTATGTTTATGTTAGGGGTGTCATATCACTCCCATATAACGACCTGTTTTTTGAGTCACAATTAACTACAGGTTTGGTACAAAATGTGGGGAAAAACAACGAAATCCTAGATGTTTGTTTTTGGCCTCATTTTAGTAGGATGTAATCCTACTAAAGACAGAAATTAAGAACCACCCTTGCAAGTCAAGTGGCTCTAAGGCAGCAGGTTTGTCAACTTGTAACAATATAAATTATAAAAAATGGGAAAAAAAATTGCATTGTATTAGGGGTGTCCCGATACCAGTTTTTTCAAGACTGAGTACAACCAGTTTTTTCAAGACTGAGTACAAATACGAGTACTT